ATTAGAGAAAAAAGTTAATCCCTTGATTCGGCCAGACCTATTATTATATTATTGACTTATTGAAAAAGACTTGAGTGCCCTTCTTTAAGTAAGAGGCACTCRAMCTAACATAAMMRTACACATCAGCATTCTCAACAAGTACAAAGACTGAAATACCCCTTYACTAACACCACTAACAGGGTCCAAATTTTGATATCTTCCTGAGAGGCCATCCATGCCAAGGTAAGCTTTCTTTAGATTGATAGTTTTTGATTGAGACATTTAGTGTATCATCGTTGGCGAGGGATGAATATACAATCACATTGTTGAAATCATAGTTTTCAAGGCACCAAGTAGACCCTGTTCATGGGTTGGGCCGGGCTTTGTATATGTATCAACAAAATACACTTAGGACCGAGCCCGAGCCCAGCCCTCATATAAAGCTCGAAGACCGAGCCCGGCTAGAAATTTGAAAACATAATTTTTCTTTTTCCTTTTTTTATTCAATAAAAAAGTGTTTTATTTATATTAAAAACCTTCAAAACTCAAAAATAATAAACATCTCACTATTACTTGAAAAAAAAGAGAAGGACAAAGAAAAAATATTATATATATTATTAAATAAAATATAATTTTATTATTTGATATATAGTATCAAGTCGGGCTCGGGCTCGGGTTGGGCTTTTTTGAGAAAGCCCGAGCTTAGCCCGAAAAAAGTCGGGCCCGAGCCCGTTCCCGCGGGCCTAAAATTATGACCAAGCTCGACTTAATAACGGGCCAGATTGGGCCAGCCCGTCGGGCTACCCAGCCCATGTACAGGTCTAGTGCCAAGGCGAGGCTAGGCGACAAGGGGCGCCTTGGCAATGGATATTTTTTTCAAGTAAAAACATGTATCATAGGGTAGCTCCCTAGGTTCCATAATCATATTTCCTTAATAAATATCCATAATTTTCATAAGAAAAGTATCAACTTCTTGTTAAAGTATAGAAAATCAACATATTCCAACATATTCATGAGAAGAAAAAGAAGAAAGAAAGAAAATTCAAAAAATATAGGGGCTGAACCCCTATTTCTGTTATAGGAAAAGAAGAAGAAAAGTTTGTTATAAGACGCTATAGAAAACTGCTTGGCGATTAGGCAAGGCGAGGCTCCAAGGGCGCCTTGTCGCCTTGACAACTATGGTTGAAATACGAAAAGGTTCATAGTGGGAAGATTCTTATACAAATTGTTTCCATGAACTGAACTAGGAGTGGCTAGAATCCTCGTGTAAACAATGAGGAAGTCCTCCATCCGTGCATCATGCAAAGAAAGGAGAGACCAACTGTCAACCCAATGCATGGTTGCGAGACCAAGAGTGATGTGTGATTGTGTGTTTGTATGATTCTGTGCATGATTTTGTTTCCTTGTGCTTATGAATTTTTTGAGTTAAGATATTTTGTCCCATTTAATAAAAACAAACAGAATGGCATACCATGTCAAGGCACATGGTATTAAATAGTGAACAAAGAAGATAAAGTCATGTCATTTTTTTTTATGTAAGGAGTCCAGATTTCCTTAAAGCAAAAACTTTCTTCTCTTAGTATTCAGTTGCATATTGGGAATATATCCTGTACATTTATGGTAAATTCATGGGGAGATGTTTCTAATGTGTGGTAGGATTCCCATGCTTTCACAATGTGCAGTCTTTTGCTTACAAGGAATTCCATCACAGAATAGGCATAGCATTGCAAGCACAGTGAATGAGCACACAATAAATATTGTAGACCTGTATCGAAATTTGAATTTAACCTTTTTCAAAGGTAGGCTGGGGGTATTTTAAGGGACAGGTTTCGAAAAAGCTTCCAATTGCTTACTCAACATGCTCAGAGTGAGTGCCTGCCTGATCCAGACTGTTCAGAAGTAGGGCATTGATATCATCTAGGAATGCAAGTGGGGTCCAGTATGATCAGGTTAAATGTTTGCCAAAATTTGAATGGGTCTGTCCAAGATCCCGGGCCCAGTATTGTGTAAATTCTTTAATCCTTAATTTCCAAAAGGCCTGATTGGTGAAATTTTAATAGATTTGAGAGGTGGGTTCTTTCAATAGACTGGATGAGTACATCTCTGATTCCATGGAAGAACATTGTTGTTTCTGGTATAAAGATGGTAGCAAGTTGAATTTCCAGAGGAGATGAACAGCTTGCTTGACCGGGCTCCAAAGATAGTAGATTCCTTTTTATAATTGGAATGAAGAGAGAGAGAGAGAGAGAACAGAATCCAAAAAGAATGTAATGAGTCTTTTTTTTAAGCCTCAATGACAGTCATTTTAATTCTTTGTGATAATGTATGTATGCCGAGCTTTTCTATATGCATGGAAACTGAAGTAATACCATCAATGCAGTTTGACAGTATGACTACTCTGGATCAATCCCAATGTCACCATGAATATGTCGTAAAGAAAAAATATGGCTAAAGCCATCTCGGAAACTGCATCTCTATGGATCAATCCCAATGTTTGGCACTTTGACTAAGGTGATGCTTGCTTGAAAGGGAGAAAGCTTGCCAGATTATCTCTTCCCTCTGTGTAACAGAGACAATCTTCAAATCATTTGTCTGTTCTGTGTGATTATTCTTAAGGCAATTCTTTTTCTTGTTGCTGCCCAACTTTGGTTAGGAAACTTCTTAGGTGGCTGGAAAATACAAGGCATGTCTAAGAAAGGGAGCATGCTGGGCAGTGGTACCTCTAGCAGTCATGTGGGCTCTATGGCAGGAGAGGAATGGTAGAATATCTGATCAGAAGGCCAATTCTGAGGAGGTGGTTAATAACATTTCAGTGGATTTGATCAAGATCTCGATTTCAAATCTTAAATCTTTTGCTGGAGAGAATTTTTCATCTTTTTTGAGAATAGACTTTTGGGGGTCCTTAAAGGGTGTATATGGTGTACAGAATCTCTTTGTATAGAAGAGCATGTATACTTTTATGATATATGTTTACTTTTTCAAAAAAAAAAAAGGAATTCTAATTCACCTACTAGGATCAAATTAAGCTTCATAAACCAAACAGGTCCTTTATAACTTGCAGCTAACTTCTACTTGCTAAATATACCTATTAATATTCTATTTACCACAGAAACCTACTTCTGACCTAAATTGGTAAATCACTATTTTTTATATGAACACAAGTGATAGATGGTTTACCTAATATGAACCCACTTTTCTCCTTGTCAAGTCCATGTGTATTTAATGTCATTAACAGTGTTGAATTATTTGAACTCTTGGTGAGAATTGAAACCGTGGACTATCAAATGGAGCAAACTCTTGATTGTAAAGGCAAAGTATGTGTGACAGGGGCATCAGGTTTCCTGGCCTCTTGGCTTGTTAAGCGACTACTCTTGTCAGGATATCATGTGAAAGGAACGGTTAGAGATCCAGGTCTCTCTCTCTCTCTCTCTCTCAACACTTAACAACTATGAAACATAGAGATTTTTTATTGCATGTGGTTTCACTGAGCAGGGAATGACAAGAAAGTAGCACATTTATGGCAACTGAAAGGAGCAAAAGAGAAACTTCAATTGGTGAAGGCAGATCTAATGGAGGAAGGCAGTTTTGATGATGCCATCATGGGATGTGATGGTGTCTTCCACACTGCTTCACCTGTGATTGGACCTATCTCCGACCCCAAGGCATGTCCATTACTCTTGTATCAACTATCAACTATCTGGAAAAAAATTTACTTGTTATGTTAGGTCATGTTGTTACTTGTACCATGATCAACTGGGCAATTTGAAATTTGAATATGCTTTTTAAAAAGGGTAACAACTAACAACGCTTTGAATGTGCTGATGTTGTCCCAGTGGGGTGGCAACCAACCAACCAACCCCCCACCCCCACCCCAAAGAAAAAATGAAGCTTGTTTCAAACCTTCATTAATCAAATGAAATTTGGATCGCTATTGTTGAAATCTAAGTTGTTTCATCTGATCATTAACTAGGCTGAAATCTTAGATCCAGCTATAAAAGGCACCTTAAACGTCTTGAGGTCATGCAAGAAGAATCCATTCCTCAGACGTGTGGTACTCACATCATCTTCTGCAGCTGTGAGAGTTCGATATGATTTTGATCCTAAGATACCTTTGGATGAGTCGTCGTGGAGCTCGGAGGAACTCTGTGAAAGGCTTCAGGTAATCGACATTACTATAAATTAATCACTAATTCTTCAAATGGTTTTATACTTTGATTGCATGCATAGTTTTTTCATTTGCAGTAAGGCTAACAAACCTTCTTTTGCCATGGTGCTTTTCAAAAGGTTTGGTATCCATTGTCAAAAATTCTGGCTGAAAAGGCAGCATGGGAATTTGCCAAAGAAAATAACGTCAACCTAATTACTGTTCTCCCGTCTTTCGTCATTGGGCCTAGCTTGCCATTCGACTTGTGCTCTACTGCTTCTGACATCCTTCATTTACTTAAAGGTACCCTTCAAAATAAAATTAACATGAAGGAAATAATGAAAGAAAGAAGGCCTGGTTCACACTCCACAATCAACTTGGTTTAAAATTTCATCCGTATTGGCTCGTATCGGCCGATATGTATCGTATAAGTGGGTCATTGGTATGTGAAAAAGAGGGATAATTAGGCCTTTTACCAACCCTGCTGAATATGTTCGGAAAAAAACTAAAAAAAGTAAAGCATGTTATTTTGAAGTCCGTTACAATCGGATTGTATCAATGCTTTAAACTTTTTAAAAATAAAATCTAAATTGATTATTATCGTTCTGCATGTATTTAATAAAAAGTAGCATATTTCCATGCTGGAAATAGGTGACTCGGCAAAATTCTCATATCACGGAAGGATGGGTTATGTTCATATCGACGATGTAGCACTCTGCCACATCCTTGTTTATGAAAACATCAGCGCTCAAGGAAGATACCTCTGTAGCTCAAAGGTCTTGGATAACATTGAATTAGCATCCTTGCTAGCAAAGCGCTATCCGTTGCTACCCATTCCTAAGAGGTTAGTTTTCTTGTCTTGCAATTTCTCTTTCTCTAACTGCAACTGCATCTGCATCTGCATCTTTTTTTTTTTTTTTTGGGTTAGAAAGATACTGCATCGCATCTGTACCATAGGAAACAATTTATATTAAGAACGCAAAAGAATTGGTCTTGCTCCTAGATATCATGTTTAATTAATGGATTTTCTAATTTGGGTTGTTATTAATTTCATGTCGGCTTTCAGGTTTGATTCAGTTTTTGGCGATAGGCCATACTATGAATTCAACACCTCAAAGTTGGAAAGCTTAGGTTTCAAGTTCAAAAGTATTGAAGAAATGTTTGACGACTGTGTAGCGTCACTCAGAGAGCAAGGCCATCTCTAGGCTCTAGGCTCAAACTAGACCAAAAACGCCACTAACTGTTACTGTTGGAATGGAAGTTGTGACAATAAAAATCCTTTCATTGGACTTCTGTTTGTATTTTAACCGGTATTGTCAGTATGCCATAATTGTCATTTTGTTTCAAAATCATCTATCTACACAGTTCGGATCTCCTACCCACAGGACGTCGCAACCACATTTGGAGAACATTTCCTCTACTTGTATGTAATTAGAGGCTGAATCGGCGCACTGGTCTCACAGCATATCGCATTGGGAACATCTTCTATACTTGTATTTATCATTCATGGGGAGATATTCCTAATACATGGTGGGATGTGATTGTGAGGTCAGTTTGAAAAACATTCTGTGAGGATCAGATCCTAATTCATGTAATCATGCATGGGGAGATGTTGTCAATGCATGGCCATAGAGATTCCAATTGTTATTTACATGCTGCATATTTTTCCTTGGGCAAATTATTAATTCTTCTACATCACAAATTTGTCATTGTTTGGGACATGGTTTTTAAAACCTAACCGGTGACCAAACCGGTCAGGGGTCTGGTTACCGGTTTGAACGGTCCAACTGTTTGACCCAAACAGCTGGCCCGTTTTGACTAAAAAAAGTTAAAAAAAACTAAAAAATGGTCAAAACCATTCGAACGGTTAACTGGCCAGTTCAATGGTTTATTGATCAAAATCAATGGTTTTGGGGAAAAACGGAACTGGTCAAGTTTCGGTTTTCTCGGTCCAACCGTTCGATCCGGTCCGGTTTTGAAAACCATGGTTTGGGAGAATCTAATACAATACAAAGAGAGGGTTTTGTAAAATAAAATAAGATAAAAATTTGTAAGGTGGAAATGTGGAATAAATCATAATTTACCTAAAAGATGGATAAACCATAATACAAGGAGACGGTTGTAGTTGAGGGCTTCTCCCACCCAAGTTGTAGAAACCGATGTCAAAGCAGAACCAGATTTGACGCCACAAGATGCCGATGAAATTTTCAGGAAAATGAAGGAAATGAGTCTCATCCCGAATGCTGTGGCAATGCTTGATGGCCTCTGCAAGGATGGGCTGGTCCAAGAAGCCATGAAGCTGTTTGGGTTAATGCACGAGAAGGGTACGTTCCTGGAAGTTGTAATCTACACGGTTGTAGTTGAGGGCTTTTGTAAGGCTTAGAAACTTGATGATGCCAAGAGGATTTTTAGAAAGATGCAGAATAATGGGATTTCACCGAATGTGTACAGTTACACTGTCTTCATTCAGGGATTGTACAAAGGGAAGAGATTGGAAGACGCCATAGACATCTGCATTGAGATGTTGGAGGCCGGTCATTCTCCAAATGTGACAACCTTTATAGGCCTGGTTGACGCGATTTGTAGGGACAAAGGTGTGGAAGAAGCGAAGAGCACCATTGAGAGATTGGAGAAGGGATACTTTGCCGATGAGAAGGCTATTAGAGAATATTTGGACAAGAAGGGGACGTTCTCACCATTAATTTGGGAAGTTGTATTTGAGAAGAAAAGAAAACCAAAATTTATAGACGAAAAGAAAACCAAAATTTTTTGTTCACCGCTTACAGGACCTGTAAGAACAATTGTAGGAAGGGAAAAGCAGTGGACCTGTAAGAACGACTATATTAACTATACACCCAACTCTGTTGGCTGGCTTTTGCTCACCGTGGAACGTCACCGGTGGATCTGCAACCAAACGCTGCCGCTGCCTGTTGTTGTAGGGTTTTGAATGGAAGAAGAAGATGATAAATTCGAGTGGTGGTAGTTGTCATTAAAGAAAAAACAGGGACATGCTTGTCCCATTCGAATGAAGAAGCACATCTTCAAAAAGTGCTAAAAAAAGCCACATCCGTGTCACTTTTTTAAGTACTTTTTTTAATAATAAGTACTTCTTACCCTATTTTTTGCCAAACACCCATAAGTACTTAAAAACCATTTAATGTGTGATCTCATGTCTTAAAGAAGTACTTGTTTAAATAAGTACTTCTTTTAAGTGTTCTCAAACACTACCTTAGCCCGCATTGCCCCATAACCCAAGCACACATAGCTCTCCCTCACCATCTCAGGCCCACCCAAAGAAAAAAAAAGAAAAAATAAGTCTAACAAAACCTAATTAATTCTAAGGATAGGCAAACCCAAATTATCTTTGTGAATAAAACGAGTCAAATCTCTACGAATTTGGGAATTACCACTGATCACTTTAAACGTGCATCTTTCATCAATTCCTTTGTTAGCTAGGAGATCAGCACAATGATTTCCCTCTCATAAGATATGGGTCCACCTAATATTCATTCTCTGCACTAAGTTCTTAGTCTTGCACAAGATGTAAACAAAATTCCAAAGATAATTCGATCTACCCATTAAAATGTCAATAATTATCATGTTATCACTTTCAACCTCAATCGCTTTATAGCCTTTTTGCAAAGAAAGGCTTAGACCATCATACATAGCTAAAAATTCTGCTTGAATAGAGATAGACTGACCATAGCAACAGTGAAAAGCAAATATGAGGGTTCAAAAAGAGTTTCTAAGTAAACCCCCACCTCCTCCTTCACCAGGATTGCCACGACAAGCCCCATCTACATTCATGTTGTAAGCAAAATTACTTGGAAATAGAATAGGCCATTCTAATTCTGATTTCAGATCACTATTCCCACGAGCCAAATAGACCCTTAATTTAGTTCTCAAATAAGATAAAAATACGGTCCAAAGGCTCAACTTAATTTAATTTCCCATGTCATCTTAAAAGAGAAGCGAGACTTGACTTACACTTAACCAGGATGCCAGGAACATGTGCCATTCATTAGGTAGTTCTTATTAAAATGATTAAATGTGGATTATTTAGAGTGGAAAAAGAATTCGAGCTCACATTCCATGGACCCTTCTTTATTGGTCCACCTTTTACATGAACCCTTCAATAAAAACTTGCCACATCATCTTAAAAAAGAAGATAGAGTTAACTGACAACTAACTGTTTTCTACTCAGCCTCTTCCTTCAATTGAGAACTGACTATCAGAAAGATCCAATGTTTGATGCAAATTTCCCACGAAAATCCAAATATAAAAATAAAACCAAAATGAAAAGTAGAACAGAATAGAGACTTCGGATCTCCTGCTCACGAGAACTCTGCCCACAACACACTACCCCCGTGAATTGGGAACATCCCCCCCTACATAATACTATGCAGAGGTTGAGATAATCTCCACGTGTGGCTGTAATAAACGTGGGCAGAGTTTGTGTAGGCAGGAGATCCGGACTCATGAATAGAATTCTAGGTGGGTGTACAATTTCTTTTATTTTCTTAACTTGTCCAAGATTTGTGAGATCCCCAATTTTTCTAGAGTTCTTGACAAAATTTGGCTTGAAGCAAGCAATGTAGGCCGATATGCGGGTTGGGGCATATTAGGCAGTATCAAACCGCTCTTTTTTTTTTAATTTTTTCTTTAAACTGGTTAAGGGGATCAGTTTAAGACCCGTCTACCCCTTAAACCAGGTTAGACCCCGAAACACCCACTATAGGGGCATATCGGATGAGTTGTCATTACAATAAGTATTGGCTAATATGCCCCAATATGTTTCGATACTTTGAACCTTAGCTTGAAGCTTTCTTGCAATGTCTATGAGTTCGGCTTCAGTCAGTGGAATGCCTGTTCGAACAGCCTTTACAGCCTTGCATTGGAAATATCTCTGTATTTATGTGCTTTATTTCATAGGAGATATTCCCAATACAAGGATGCAAGAGGCTGTTGGCACGGTGTGAGCACGGGCTTCCCCATATTGCTTGGTGAACAAGATGCAAAATTTTCCCACTAAACACTAAAACCATATTTAGTTTGAAAGAAAAGGTAGGGAAGCCTTTCCTTTTTCTACCTTTTCCTTCAAACATAACCTCCTGAATTATTGTTTGTGTTTTTTGATGCTGCTTCATATGTTTCCTTTTTCTACCAAGTCAAGTACGTGATAGAAATTGGAAAATTTCGCTTGGAAGCGAAGACACTATATAATCCAAACCAACATTATTTCCCTGCCACACCTACTGTGACAACCTTTGATAAAAGCTGCCTACCGGCAGATGCAACCCAAAATTATAAAAAATAAAAAGAATAAAGAAAAATCTTACTTTATTGTTATTTAAAGCAAATTCATTAGTTGCATGTGATATTGTTGTATGGTGGAAATAGGACCACCCTTTCTCTCAAAAAGGTGCGGGAGAACCACGGACAGTCGGGCATGGATCAGACGTTCGGGTAAATGATCAGATCTGAGTAACCAGTTCAAATAGAAGGTGACAAGATACAGCCAAGAAGGGTGTTTCAATACTTCCAATCTTTCACTTTTATTTTTAGTCTTTTTAAAAATTTCATACAATTGTATTATTTTATTTACTAGAAAATAAGTTTATTTTTTAAATTCCTCTAAAATAACTGAGAGTCAAACAGAGCATATAATATTAAAATTTTGAATTCACATTGACCCCCACATGCATAAATAGAGTGTAAATGCTGGTTTTGTATAAATATGCATTCTGGTTCAGTTTTTTTTAGTATTTGACAAAAATGCATTTATGCTTTGACAATGACATAAAACACAATTTTCAAGCATTTACACTCACTCGTACTCCATATCTCATAGGATCCTTGGCCTTACACAGTTTCTTTGCAGTATAATTTCTTTGGGGCTTGAGGTCACTTGATAGATGGTGACAATTGACAATTGTTCTCTAGAGTGTTTTTTCACACTATGAAGATAAATGATTTTCAAGCTAGAGAATCTTAATGTATAATCAAAGGATCCATCAGATGAAGTAAAGCGGTTAAAATCACTTTGTTTCACCCTTTTACCCCTAATATAAACTATAAATAGGGATGACATACTTCAATTGTAACTAAATTCAATATTCATTTTTTTTTCGTAATTTAGGCTGTGTTTAATTGCAATGCAAATAAATTTGAACTGATGCAAAATCATGGCAATGTAAATGATTTTAGTGTAAATTCCGATTTATTTTTGTTTCAAATTTTAGTTTATTTTATTTGACTGTAATACAAATGAAGTCAATTAAGATATGAAGCAGAATAGATTAAAACTCAAAATAAAATTAAATACGAATTTACATTTTTTTTTTCATTTGCACTCTCATGCATTTTTATTAGTGCAAATAAAATTGCACTGCAGGTTCGTTAGTGGGTATTTTATAAGGGGTGTAATGTAAAATTTTGTGTTGAGAATCTTAAGATTCTGGTGGGTGGGCCTTGTTATTGTAATTTCTAAAAAATTTTATAGTATAGAGGAAAGTTCTGAAGTGCTCTCTGTGGATGTACGTAATTTGGCCTAATTGTGTTAAATTTAATATTTTTTTCTTCTCTTCCTCTCTTTCTCTAGCTATTTACATTTTGTTTCCCAGCATCTCTGGGATGATGACAGCCAA